CGGGGCGGGGCGTAGGGCAGCGGTGGCCGCACCGAGGGTCGCTCCGTCGGGTTGCGGCTACGCACAAGATGGCGGCCGCCCCCTCTGCCTCCTTCCCCCGCCGGGGGCTCTCCGCCAATCAGCGCCGGGGGGCGGGACCGACGCCCGCCTCATCTGCATAGGCGCCTGCTACATAAGGTGAGAGGCGCCGCCGGCCCCGCCCCTAGCCGGGAGGGGCGGGGCCTTGCTCACCTGCGGGGCGGTTGCAGTCGGGCGCTGAGGGGCGAGGCGAGGCGAGGCCTGTGGTGTGTTCGTGCCTCTCTCTCAGCTGCCCCAGGCCCAGACCAGCAACGCTTCAGCTTCTCCTTAGCTGGAGAAAAATGCGGGCTGAGCTGCAGCCTTCTTCCTCCTTCAGCTAAGCTCAAAGAACAAATAAGCATTGCTGGGTAGCCACCTGCACAGAGCTGCTCCCCCCCAGTGCCTTACCTTTAAATGCACCGCTAGCTAGGCATGAAAATAGTCAAGCAACACCATTTTGCTGCTTCTGTGGCCACCACAGCAAAAGACGTATCTTTACCCTACACGTAAAGCAAACTCGAGCTGCCTTCAAGCGTCTCGGCTACACCCCAGCACGAGCATCCTCCGGCATCGAAGCCTTGCTCTTGAGAAGTCAGTTCTGACAAAACCGCCTCCCTTGCCAGATTCTCTTCTCCCAGCTCTCCGTTGGCCAACGCTGTGAGGGCGGCCAAAGGAAACAGTACAAAGATACACTCAGGGTCGCCCTCAAGCACAGAGGCATTGACACCAACAGCTGGGAGGAGCAAGCTGCTAACCATTCAGCATAGCGCTGCTTAGTCCACCAAAGCGCATGCCACTTCGAGGCCCAATGACTCAATACCAAGGCGAAACAGCAGCAAATCCCACTCCCCCGTGCAGCAACATGCCCCCGTTGCTGAAAAGCGTGGGCATCCAGAGTCAGGCTCCTCAGTCACCACAGGACCCATCACGCCTGACGGACATCATCCTCAACTTCAAAGGACCGCCGGCGACTTCCCCAGCAGGCATTTCCAGGCTGGAGTCGATATGACCGTGCCTGATTTCAGGGTTTTTAGCTGGGTCTGCAAGGCTGGGAAAGAGTAGAGAGAAGTTGGCAGGAAGGGCTAAGAGATAGCAGCATTGTGGACACGGGTAGTTTGAGGAGCAGAGCATCGGGGCCTTTGAAAAGGAGAGAAGGTCATTAAGGGTGGTTAACACGTGTGGAGTGAAGAGAGATGAGCAGAAATCAGGTCTGTTACAATGAGCCATGAAGTCAAGTGACTCCCTCAGGGCTGCCTGGATAGAAATGCTGCTGCCCTCTCCCAAGGCAGTTGGTTTTAAAGTTTGGGTAGAGCAGGAATCAGAGGGAGCAAAGGGTCCTTTGGAAATGTACCATTGCACGCCCCGTGGATCAGCCTCTGTGCATTACCGTTGCATGCAACCAGCTTCCCCTGTCCTTTGTGGGTTCGCCTCATGGAAAGAGGAAGCACAAAAGGAGGAAACAAGATTGTGAAGCCCTTCTGCAGCTGGGTGGGGAACCTGAGCAGCACCTGCAAGTGTGCCACAGCTTGCAGGTTGGGACAGAAGGTGTAGGAGGGACAGTCTGGAAGGTGACCTCCCAGGGATCCTAGTTTTCTCTGATTAAAAAAAAAATCCACAATTTTCTGATTTAAAAAAAAAATCCTAAAATCCACATTTTTCTATGATTAAAATGAAATGCCACTATATGGTATTTTGTTTTAATTGTGGGAAAAAATGGATTTGGAGGGAGGAGTTTAAATCAGAAAATCTTAGATTTTTTTTTTTAATCGGAGAAAAGCAGGATGCCTGGATGTCGCACACGGCTGCAAGCAGCAGCTCTGAATACAGAGCACTTCAGAAAAGATCCAGTTACTACAGTCCAAATGGAGTCCCCTATGTTACTGCACAGAACTCTGTATATGACATGAGGCATTGCACTTAACCAAAGAAAGCTCTTTTTCACACAGCACGTAATTCAATGTGGAAAGATGTTGCAAAAGCTGTCAGTTTAACCAGACTCAAAAAAGCATTGGACATTCCCAGAGGAAAGGTGTAACAGTAGCTATTGGACATGGGAGTCAGGGATACAGCTTCTGAATCAGAACCTCTTAGACCAGAGGTTTCAAACCACTGGGCTGCGGCAGGTTGGCTGCTGGGTGATGGCATGAGCCCCCTCCTTGGACCCCCGGGCGAGCAGCTTCTGGGGTTAAAGCTACGTGGCAGGGCCGTCCCAGGAGGAAGGTAGCTGATTCCGTGCACCCTGTATCACTCCCTCCAGGCCACAGTATAAAAAAGGTTGGGAACTACTGTCCTAGACCTTAAATGCTGGAGGCTGCAATTGGGAAAGGAACTGGGGGAAAACCCAGGTCATACCCTGTTCATTCTCCTTTTCAATATCTGCTCTCTGCCCACATGACAGGAGACTGAGCAAAATGGACTACAGTCTGACCCAGTAAATGGCAGTTCTGGTGTTCATCCACCCATTCTTCAATAATTTCCTTTGACAAATAGAGTTAACTTAGTGGGAGCCTTAATATACCTCTGGCACCAATGATTGAACAGCAAATTGTGTATGCCTGCTATGAACAAGCTTAAATGATGTTGGAGTCAAAACAGAGTTGGCTGCACTCTTTGTTATCTTCACTAGAGCTCCCTCCATTGCTACTGTAAGTGGACTTGCAACACACACAGACACAATATAGGAAGATGAACAACAGTTCACCATTGTTGTCAGTCATGGTGCCCTGAAAACAACAGGAGTGCTAGCTAGCAGACAGGGCAGAATCATTTTCAGCCTAATCAGAGAAGCATAACTCAGACTTAACTTCATCAATTGCCTGGGTATTATGAGCTATAAAGTGGCTACCCTCATCACATTGAAAATTTAGGATTTAACCTACAGCACTGAGTGCAAATATTTGACTGGCTTTCAGCTTCTTTGTTGAGAACAATGGAATCTGTTGGTAACGATGCCGTGCACCCCTTCCTTCCGCATGTCAAACAAGATACTTTATAGCCAGTACTTTTATTTAAGGTGCCTCTAAAAATATGTCTAAAACTATAAAGGGGTTCACAATAATTCTAGCTGGAGGCCATCAGTCATTCTTCTGGACTCCCTGGCTTAAAATCACATGGCTTCTTTTTCAATAACTTTAACACACTGACTGTTAATAGCACAAACTTTGTGACAGTAAATAACCTTAATGCCTCTGTGACCTGCTCCCAGTCTAAATCTAGTTGAAGCAAACTGGGATGCTGAGGAACTCCCAGGGTGCAAAATGAGAAGCATATTTCCTGAGCCTTGGAACCAGAGCCGAGTCATTCTGCAAGCTAAGCTCTGACCTATAGAGAAGCAGCAGCAGGTTCCTTGGACTTTGATGGCACTTAGAGGCCCCACATATGGATCAGGGCTGTACTGCCTTAGGCAGCATGCCAACATAGGATCATAGAAAATGAAGGTGAGAAGGGATCTCAGGACATCATCAATACAACCCCCTGCTCAAAGCAGGACCATCCCCAACTAGATCATTTGAACCAAGGCTTTGTCTAGGCAGGTTTTAAAAACCTTCCAAGGATGGAGATTCCACAACCTCTCTGGGTAACCTGTTCCAATACTTCACTGTCCTCCTAGTGAGAAAGTTTTTCCTAATATCTAACCTAAATTTCCCTTATTGCAACTTGAGACCATTGCTCCTTGTTCTGTCATCTGCCACCACTGAGAACAGACTAAATCCAATCCATCCTCTTTGGAACTACCCTTTGGAAAGTTGAAGGCTGCTATTAAATCCCCTCTCGGTCTTCTCTTTTTCAGACTAAATAAGCCTAGTTCCCCCAGTCTCTCCTCAAAAGTCATGTCCCACAGTCCCCTCACCATTTGTTGCCCTCTGCTGGACTCTCTCCAATTTGTCCACATCCTTTCTGTAGTGGAAAGCCCAAAACTGAACACAGTACTCCAGATGTAGCCTCACCAGTGCTGAATAGAGGAGAATAATCACTTCCCTTGACCTACTGGCAACACACCTACCAATGCAGCCCAGCATGCCGTTAGCCTTCTTCACAACAAGGGCATGCTGCTGGCTCGTATTTAGCTTATTATCCACTGTAATCCCCAGGTCCTTTTCTGCAGAGCTGCTACGTAGCCAATTAGTCCCCAGACTGTACTGGTGCATGGGATTGTTCTGTCACAAGTGCAGGACTCCACACTTATCCTTACTGAACCTCATGACATTTCTTTAGGTCAAATCCTCCAATTTATCTAGGTCTCTCTCAATCCTAGCCCGACCTTCCAGCTTATCCACTACTTCCCCTTAGCTTGGTGTCATCTGCAAACTTGCTGAGGGTGCAATCCTTCCCATCTTCCACATCATTGATGAAGACATTGACCAAAAGCAGCCCCAGGTCCCATGCCTGCAGCACTCCACTTGGTACTGGCTGCCAGCTAGACATAGAGCCATTGAGGCTGACAATCCAGACAATTTTCTATCCATCTTACAGTCCATTCATCCAGCCTGTGCTTCCTCAGCTTGCTTGCAAGAATGTTGTGGGAGACTGTATCAAAAAACTTGCTGAAGTCAAAGTATATCACATCCCCTGCTCTCCCCACATCCACAGAGGCAATCATCTCATCATAGAAGGAAATCCGGTTGGTCATGAATGACTTGCCCTTAGTAAATCCATGCCAACTGTTCTCCACCACCACATCCTCCAAGTGTTTAAAAATGGATTCCTTAAGGACCTGCTCCATG